GCAAGTTGACATGTCATACCTCTCTCTCTCTCTCTCTCTCTCTCTCTCTCTCTCTCTCTCTCTCTCTCTCTCTCTTTCTATCTATCTATCTATCTCTCTCTCTCTCTCTCTCTCTCTCTCTCTCTCTCTGACAGCTCTCTCTCTCTCTCTCTCTCTCTCTCTCTCTCTCTCTCTCTCTCTCTCTCTCTCTCTCTCTCTCTCTCTATGAGAGGCCAAGGAAATGGACCGAATGACGGCCTGTGTTGCAGTCGGTGCTTTATGGCACCACGCCGCTTGATTCGCCTGGCCAACAGCCAACTCTCCCGTCGAGATTTTTTTTATATTTTCTTGGTGGTTGTATGGCACTGCCGCGCGCCACAGTGTAATGACCTCATCAATTTCTTTTTTTCTTAGGGCCCCAAAACACCCTCAGAATGGGGTACGGCGGACGAAAGCTATGCCTAACACAGCCAAACTCTTTTTTTTTTTTGATTTTTTTATTTGTTTTTCAATAAAATAAAAAAACTATTTTCCGATCGAAAAAATAATAAAATTGGGCAGGAGCCCATCGACACGGACCACAGACCTATGCAAAAAAGCACCCCCCTACCAGCCAAAAAAAAAATAAAATGAAGTTCCCGCTCTGCGTGAACTCCGTGAACTATGACCGGTCACGTTTTTCGTGACCGGTGACCGGCCCGCGGTCATTAGGGCTGTGAACGGTGAACGGGGGTACGGCACTGCCCTCATCCTTTTCAGGGGCATTTTGGCGTATATCTCAACTTTGAGTGGTATAACGCAAATTTTCCTCTTTTTCCCCCCTTTTTGAGAATGCCTTCAGCTTGAGAGTTACTGAAGGTCTTTTTATTATTATTATTTTTTTTTTTGAAGTCATGGTATATACGCCGAGAGTCGCTAAAGGTTTTTTTTTCTGTCGCTGGATCTCACCCCGACACCTAAAATTATTTATTCTGCTACTTCCGGCCTCTCCTTTGGTGTGCATATTTTTATTTTTTGGTGTGCGTAATAGAATGCGCTGAGATTTCCTTGGAAAAAAAAAAAAAGTTTTTTTTTTTGTATTTGGAGAAACATAACTTTTCTTTCCAATGAGACCACGGGAGCCCGGGAACACACCCCTACACATGAACCCGGTACAATCTTTTTTTTTTTTTTTTTTTTTTTTTTNTTGTTTTTCAATAAAATAAAAAAACTATTTTCCGATCGAAAAAATAATAAAATTGGGCAGGAGCCCATCGACACGGACCACAGACCTATGCAAAAGAGCACCCCCCTACCAGCCAAAAAAAAAAAAAAAATGAAGTTCCCGCTCTGCGTGAACTCCGTGAACTATGACCGGTCACGTTTTTCGTGACCGGTGACCGGCCCGCGTTCATTAGGGCTGTGAACGGTGAACGGGGGTACGACACTGCCCTCATCCTTTTCAGGGGCATTTTGGCGTATATCTCAACTTTGAGGGGTATAACGCAAATTTTCCTCTTTTTCCCCCCTTTTTGAGAATGCCTTCAGCTTGAGAGTCGCTGAAGGTCTTTTTATTATTATTTTTTTTTTTTTGAAGTCATGGTATATACGCCGAGAGTCGCTAAAGGGTTTTTTTTCTGTCGCTGGATCTCACCCCGACACCTAAAATTATTTATTCTGCTACTTCCGGCCTCTCCTTTGGTGTGCATATTTATATTTTTTGGTGTGCGTAATAGAATGCGCTGAGATTTCCTTGGGAAAAAAAAAAAAAAAAAGTTTTTTTTTTTGTTTTTGGAGAAACAAACTTTTCTTTCCAATGAGACCACGGGAGCCCGGGAACACACCCCTACACATGAACTCGGTACGATCTTTGTTTTTTTTTTTTTTTTTTTTTAAGAAGATCCTTCACCCCAGTGCCCAATGCCGTAGTGGAAACAAGAAAACGACGCGCCTGCCTACGTTCCTGCTGCTGGTACCTGCTAGCAGCAGCACATGTCCCACATTTTTTCACACTTTCGATTCCCGCGTCCGATTTAGGATTGCGTGCAACCAAGATGAAATCCTAAAAACAAGAACTTTTAGGAGTGTCTAACAAGACCCTTAGTGCCCTACTTCTTTTTTTTTTTTTTTTTTTTTTTTGAAAAACAGGGGCCCAGTGCCCAAGGCTCAAATTATCAAGTTGGATACAGTACGAACACACGCCTCGTCCCATTAGGGCTGGAAGAGCCCCAGCCCCTGCTCCCGTGGAGACAGCTTCCCTATGCGACTAGAATGAGGCACGAGCAAGGGGCATTGATTGCGTCCCTGGCACAATGGACCTCCCTGGGACACAGTCGATTCTCGGTTAGACAGGGGAACCTCTGTCGGAAGCACTCTTCTATCCAAGGGGTGAAGTACTCCGGATCCCACGACGAATCTGAGTCCCTGGAGTGTGTCATTTTGTCATTGCGAAGCCGCGGAGTTCATTAGCGAGTGGTTGCCCGGCTAGTGAATGTCTGAGCTTCGGCGTTCAGAAATTGCGTGCCGGTCCCAATATTCGACGATTGTGATTACCGCGTGTGAGTAGGTGTAAACTGCGTGAATTGGATCGCACTTATACGTGTTCACAAGGGGTGATCACTTCGTTGCGGACGCAGAATGGCCACCGAGCACGTCCAATCAATCAATATCCCCGCAACCGTTAGCCCCTTTCATGCGTGGGTGGTTGCGAATCGACACGCGTGGACACGTGTAAGTGCGCAGATCATATCTCACTTATGTGCATCCCCGTGAGGTGTTCGTTGGTTTCTGGGCAAACAGCTACCCAATCGTCTAATCATCCCCTGAGTCGCACACAATCATTCCTGAATATGCAAGGTGCTACTGCGCAATTGCAGTACATCGGTGGATCAAAAAGGACAACAACATTAGTGCGGGTTATGCTATGTTTCCTACTATGTTCATGAGTGCATCAAGACGACAAGCAACAGCAAAGTTCAGGCACAGGGAGAAGCAAACAGACATAACATCCATTCATTCAGCATAACACAGTATCCGAGATTGAAATCGCGAAAACAAGTGAGGGCGAGAAAATCATGCCACGATTCCGAAAACAAAAACGGGCAAATCGCCCTGAGCCGAGATCAAAAAGGCAAAGAGGGAGAAAATACAAAGAAATCCGCAAATCCACGTCCATCAACCCCCGCTCCCTCTTCCTCTCTCTCTCTCTCTCCGATGCGGACAGTCCGTCGTCGCGCACCAACCCACGAAGTCGTCACCTCGCTTAGTCCTCCCGCACCCGTCAGGTTCGCCCGCGCCCACAGCCCGTCGTGGCCCGCGTCAACCCCGCGCGTTTGGCACCAGCTCGTCGGGTCGCCCGACTCCCACTTCAACTCACCTCTTACTTCGCTCGTGAGCCGACCCTCACTGATCGCGCTACCCCGAGCTTCCAACAGCTGGTTATGAGAGCTAACTAATCGCGCAGCCGAAATTTATAGCGTGCATGCATGCGCGAAGAACACGGAATTACAAGGACTTGGGAGGAGAGAAGGGGGAGGGATTGCCTACGTCTGCATGACCAGATCGCGGCGTGGGGGACGTAGCCACTCTCCACGCATCTATCCGATCATGCAAACCGCGGCTATCAAAACGCAGCAAAAAGAAAGAGAAGAAGGGCAGGAAGGGCGAAGTTCAAGAAGAAAGATACAGTTACAATGGCGCCCGCCCAAATTACAGTTACACACAAGATTAAAGGCGCCGGCTAATCAGAACTCCGGCGCAGCCGCAAAAAGAAGCGCGCAAGCGAAAAACAGCGCGCACAAAAAGAAATTGCAATTTCCTAAATTCCTAAGTTCCTATCTAATGCAAAAAGAGATAAAACGCAAATTCCGAAAAGAAAATCCGAAGTCCCGAGAGCCGTAGAGGCTCGACAAAATCCAAAAGAAAATTCGAAAAGAACGAAGCAAAATTCCCGTGCGATGTTCGCGCCCAAAAGTCCAAAACCGAAACAAAAGGGCGACGTCAACATTTATTATTTGCGCGCACGGCGGCGCGCCACTCACACAACCAATCAACCAATCGATCGTCCCTGGGCCCACCCGGGCCTGAACCAGCCATCCGAAAGGAACCGACGCAAAAAGACGAAAAAGTGAGGACACCGATGCAATTTCCCATCCATCCCAATCTCCCGTAATTGACCCATCCTTCCCAGCTTAGGACCCCTCGTAGCTACCGCGCAGAAAATCGCGCGGTGCGGAAATCGGTTCGTCACATATGTGACGCCCAGGGGGTTCCAATCTTAAGCAAGCTCCTGCTTGCTTGAATCTTGACATGTGTCGATCTCTCTAATCGATCGATGCGTGGAGCTTTCTGCATGGCCACTTACCGTGTGAAAGAGTGTAGACGTCATCCAACATGGCTTGCAAGCTCTGTCCTACAATTTTCTCAGGAGGGCTCTCGTCATTCCAAGGAGGGGATTATTCGTGCCATCGCTGTGGCACGCACACCAATCCACCGATCACCGATCGTCAGTGTCCACCAGGAAGGGGGAAGGGGAGACGGTACATGGGGGCATGGTGAGGGGGAGGGTGAATCGAAAGGGGGGGTAAGAATGGTTCCACCTGGGCTACTGTTTCCGGGAGCTCCTGGTAACGAATGATCCGGTGGAAACGGGGGAAGCGATGACCAGTGTGCGGGAGGGAGGCGAGGTAGTCGGGATTTAGGGTGGTAAAGGTGCGGAAGACGGGGAAGAGTGCCGCGCGAAAATGGTCGTGGTTTTCGCATGCAAGGATAGTCCCCGTAATCATGCAATAAACCTCGATCATATTGTGGCCTCGCCACGCGGCACTAAGGAGAAGGGTATGGAGGTAGAAATCGGGGAGGGCGCAGCGGGTCGAGGGATGGGGGTGAATAGTAACGACGAGGCGAGTGGCGTAGAAGAATCGGAAGGTGTCGATGGGGAACGGGTTACGGGGAAGGTGACACGGGTGGTGACTTGTCAGAGGGTGAGGTAGTCAAGGGGACGGCGGGATAACGACCGGGGACGAAGCCCGATGCCCCGTATCAGTACGGGCTTGAACTGATGGACGGTCGGAGGCGGAGGGGGAGGAGGATCGGCTTTGTCACCGTCCTGCCGGTGCACTCGAAGTCTCGGCCTGTTCTCCATTCTCAGGCTTAGGCGGCTCGGGATCGAGGGCCGGATCGTTAGTGATCGGCAGATTTGCCGCGCTGGCGAACTCCAGCTGTTGTTTCCCGGCCACGATTTCGTCTCTTTTGCGCGTCGCTTCGGGGTCTTCCGCCTGCTCCGCTTCTATTCGCTCGAGCTCCTCCGCCAAGACCTCCCACTCAGACTTCTCCAGTTCTAGCTCCTCTTCTTCTTCCTCGTCTTCACTCTGCTCTCCCTCGCTGTGCTCACTATAACTGCCTTCCTCTGGGGTTTCTTCCTCCTCGTCCTCTTCGGCGGCTTCTTCTTCTTCAACGCTCTCTTCCTCGATCTCTATTTCTTCGTCCTCGGAGGCCGCCCGATCTTGGAAAAAGGCGAGATCGATGATCTCCCGTGGGTCCAGATAATCCCGCTGCGACGGCGGGTTGCGGCTAGTTCCTGGCTCCTCCAGGCACGCCGACCACCGAAGATAAGGTGTTAGAGTTCGCGTGAGGACATGCGGAACCGGGCTCTCGTCACTCTGTGAGACGATCTCAAGTGGGAGGTCGCCTACTAACTGCGCAAGGGGAACCGTCAGCTCTAAGGTGATCGACTGGCGATGACTGGGGCGCACCGATCCGAACAGGAATCCGAGAAGATCGCCTTCCACGTCGGTCCTCCAAGCTTGAACGATCATCAGCTCCAAATACTCAAACCACTCGCGATGTTCCTCGTCCTAGGTCCATGTGATTCGTACTCCGATTAGGCACACCGACAGATCGACGAAGTGTTCATGCCAGCACCTCCACTGCGCGGGATCGAGAAGGGGGACAGCGAGCGGCTCCAGACAGAAGCAGAAGCGAGGGTGGACTCCAGTTTGCCAGAAGGTGGGAAAGAGAGATGGGAGGGCGAAGGTGGAGAGTTGGGAGTGGTTCATCGGGGACGCTCGAAGGGGATGAGTTCCGGTAGCACCACCGCTGGCTCGTGCTGGAACGCCCGAATACCACCAAGTTCGATGTTGTCCGTGGGGAAAAGATTATCTCCGTGGCGCGTAAGCCAGTGGTTCCACTCCGTCGACAGTTGTTGCGCCCACTCCCTCAATGACGTCCGGATGGCCGTATGCCGTAGCGCACTGACCGTACCGATATCGCAGCTGAAGCCGACGACCGTGGACGCGTGGCTAATCCCGGGAGCTGACCGTCGATGTACAACCACTGCCTCTTCTCACACGACCGCCTCAGGACTGCCTGCGAATCGGAACTCGGCCACTGCGTATACTCCCAAAGTGCAGAAGAACTGCGCTAGTCGCAGAAGATCCAGATTGAACCATGGATGACGAACCTGCTGAATTGCTGAGATGTAACCCCGTGGCGTTAAGAGATGGTCGCCGAGGGCTCGTTTCGTGAGAAAGCTCATGACGATGGTGGTGGGGACGGAGTAGGGGACAAGGCAAGAGATGCAGGGGAAGAATATGGCGATGGAGAGTCGTTGTCTTCTTCCGAAGAAAAAGATGGCGCAGGAGATGGGGAGGAAGGGAGGGGACGCAGGTAGGACACATGGCGGGTGATCGGTGGAGTCGATCGGCTGCCGGGGACTTCAGGCGCAAGCTGCACAGTGTTCACGCCGTTCGGTCCGAGCTCAATCACGCGGAATCGCCCGAAGAATCGTGGCGCTAGCTTACCCTGACGAGCACATTTCCTCACCTGCACGATGTCCCCCAATTTGTACGAGGCGCTTTCGGGCTAGCCTGGGGAGGGACCGTTCCATTAGCTCTAAGTGCCGCTTGGCCTTGTCTCGAACCGTGGCCCTTGTGGACCATCGGTTCAGCGTTGATTCATCGGGGAGGCTCAGTATTGAAACGCAACTGACGCTATTGGTCCTTAATTGAAAGGGGCTCAGGCCCGTCGATTCGTGGGGCGTTCCGCGGTGGACCGCTAGGATGTGGTCGACGATATCGCGCCAGGGCCTCGGATCCCGTGCCACAATGTTTCGTCGTAGCGCTGTCTTCTGTGTGTCCGATTTTGAATTCAACGCGGGTTCCACGTTGAAAACTTCAACGCGGATTCTGCGTGGAAAAATTCAACGCGCGTTGAATTCATGTTGAACTCCCGTTCAAATGCGCGTTGGACGCGAATTAACGGGGTCCGCGATGATTTTTTTCCTGGGCTAAAAATTATCCAAAAAAAAAAACAAAAAATATGGGGTTGTAGGTTTTTTCGAGGATTACAACCCTCTATTTGTATTTTTATTTTTTGATGTTTAAATATATTTAAAAAAAATCAAAAACATAAACACACAATGAAAAAACAAAAACTAAAATAAAATGGGTGTTTTTTTTTTGGGTTTCACACATGCGAGGCTTATGCCCCTATGAGCCCCTTTCAGGCCCTGCCAAGTATCACGTCGGCCGCCCTAAGTAAAGGCAGGCACGACGAGGGCCTGAGGGCCCCAATTTCGGTCACCATGCAACTCAAGGAAATTCAGGCAGTTGCGCAGCGCCAGTTGGTTGGAAGAACCCACGCCCTGGGCAGCTTGTTTGAATGTATTGTAGGCAGACCCTGGGCTGAATACGAGATGTGGGCCTAACACAGGCCTTTGACAGTTGGGCGCGAGCAACTACTACAGGCCCAGAACCTTAGTTGTGTGGAATGGGCCTCAGCCTACCGGGGCCTACCGGAAGCTTCTTGGGAAAGGCCCAGCATAGCCTGAGACATCAAGTAGGCGGGCCACTTCCATATAGCAAAGGGTCTGCCTCGACATTTGGCATTCGGGTGCTGGCTGCATGCTGCGTAAGCGCTGCTGCGCTAATAGCTGGCCAGCGCTCATGCGCTCACGGGCGAGCAGGAAGGAGCAGGCAGCCATAGCCGAGCTGCGCTGCTGTAAGCTGGGTGTGGCGCAGGGTGGTCCTCGGGTGCAAGTGGCATCTGTGTGTTGGGGAACGAGGTTGTTTGTGAGGCGAGAGACATACCGGATGCTGGAAGCGTGCGACATTGATCGCTGTATGCTCATACTTCGGGAAAGTTGTTGATGTCATCTTCGACATTGTAGTCTAGGCTAGATAGGATCTACCATCTGTAGTCTGGGCGCCGAGCGCCAGATAGGATATCAGCATTGATTCTTCATTGATGATGATGATGAGACTTTACCAGCATTGCCAATTATGAGCTCTTGGTGTTTTCTTATTTGGTGAAACTCGTGATGCAATTCTGCTATTGGCTCGAGGTCACGATTATCTGGTCTTGTATATATGATGTTGTTTGCTTGCTGAAGTTCGCTATTGCTCATCTTCCTTGCACACGGTCTTTTTTGAAAAAATGTGGGTTTTTCTTTTTTAAAACAGCATCACAGTCACGACTATCTGGTCTTGTATATATGATGTTGTTTGATTGCTGATTGCTGAAGTTCGCTTGTAAAAAGAGGTGTTTCAGGGGTTGTGTTTTTTTTTTTTTTTTTTTTTTTTTTTTTTTTTTTTTTTTTTTTTTTTTTTTTT